AAACTTTCAAACGAATTTTTCACTAAGTATTCGACGTTAGTCAGCAAATTGTTTACACGTTCGAGTGTATCCATGCTGCCTTACTGCACAATTCTTTATGCGCTTCCTGCGCATCAATAGCCACTTCTCTGTAGCTCTTTCTTTTCTTGTCACTCGGTTCAGCCTCTAAATATAATTAAATAAACTGTCTTTTAATTTCGATTTTAACTGTACTTGTGAATTGAGCTTATTCACAGCCGAAGCGTGTATCGACGACTTTTTCTCATTAGCATGTTTTTTTAATCTAACAGGGTAAATTTCACACTGTGAAAAGATGAAACAATTTACTGACGTTTCGGACGCTAGTCCTTCATCGGAGTAAAAGAGCGTCTGAAACGTCAGTAAGTTTTTTCATCTATTCACGGTGTGAAATTTACCCATTTTATCTTAACTGCTTCATTAGAAACACCGACGCAGTTCACACTAGATTTCAGCTAGTTATCTCCTATTTTAATCTAAGGCTTATTTGCAGGTAAAACGTAACGTTATGTGAAATCGTATTAATGACTGCCAAAATTATAATAATACTTTAAAATCTTTTATAAGCCGTTTGAGATATCAATACTTAGCAAATGTGATGTTTTTTTTCTGAAGATAGAGCAGCATTTACTCCCAACTGCTTCACAAATCATGTGACGGTCATAACACACAAAACCACGAAAGCATTGCGTGACCATCGGCGACGGGATTATAAATACTGTGTGTGGATGTGACTTATTTTAAAAAAATTGTCTTTATGTCCGGTTAACTAAATGTTAAACTGGGATATTAGATAGTCTTTCTGTGTTTCTGTAAGACGTTTTCGACCTTCGTATAATTTTGATCCCGAGCCGCCCACGTTGTGATCAAACTGAGCTGTATTTAGAGTGTCCTGAAGGGGTAAAATGCCTTTTTTGGTTAGGGAAAATGGGATTTCATGCGTACTGGGACTGGGATGTATAAACAAAACCAAAAAAAAAATAAAAAGCCTAAAATGGTAATAAGATTGAGATTTGAGCAAAACATAGGCTAGGACTATGTGATTTGACTGGGATTTAAATAAAATTTGGGTTGGGAAATGGGATTTAGGATCCCGCTTACAGGACCCTCTATTTAACACCCTCCATTTTGCTCGGATTTGAACGGCCAGGAGCTACTAAAACGAACGGCTTTTAAATGCTTTCACGGTTTTGAGTAAATGGTCGTCGCTACAAAGAGAATTACATGATTTGTAAAGCAGCTGGGAGTAAATTCTGCTCTGTTTTAAGAACAAACTCCTAACATTTGCTAAGTATTGATATCTCAAACGGCTTATAAAAGGTCTGAGAAATATAAATTTAATTTGGCAGTCATTTACTTGCTAATTTATGCAAAAATGATCCTTCAAAGAAACCTATTTAGACATCAGTATTTGGTCGATTGCAGCAGCTTAAAAACATTTACCTAAGACTGTCTTTTATTCAACGTCTTGAACAATATCATATTGATATTACGTACATTGAAAACATCTCTTTTTCGTTGTATCCGGGCGGCCATGATAAAATTCTCACTTGTTTTGAGGGTACTTTTAAGCTCAAGAAAACTGTGTCTTGCAAATAATTCTTCCAAAAATTCATCGTTAGAGCTACATGTCTGAAAATCGTTTTGAGGTATATAAACCATTTTTCATGCTCAAGTCATATTCTTAACACTTGAGTAACCTAACAATATGATAAGCTATATCTCAGCCCAATTTTAATCAAAATCAACCCAGTTTAGTAGTGTTATAGAACTCTAGCTGTTCTTCAAAAGTAATTACGGAGATAAGTTACCATAACAACGGCGTTGGTTCAAGTCCACCCTTATTTAAAAATTAGGTTTTTAAAATTTCCACCTTTACGAGAGACGTATCGAATAAGAATTCAATCAACAATTTTCTGCTCAAGTTAAAAAATAACAAAGCAATCACGTGATGCAAGTCTAAAATCGCTGTTAGGGGCCTGGACACCAACGTGCTGCCATAGCAACCACAGTTTTTGCATTTTCATGTTTATAGCATAAAATTTGAAATTATATGTCTTTCGAACCAAAATTGCTAACGAGAAACGAAAAACGCCAGTTTTCTTCTTTTGTAAAGTACTTTAAAATGTGTTTAATTAGTAATAATTGGHCAGTTAAATTTCATCGTCGTGGCAGTGACAATGATGGCTCTATTCAAGTATACTTGTGAATCAGTTTCGCAAATCAGTGCATGTAGCAACCAAACTCCCTGCTAACTCCCTGCTCAAGTTAAAAAATAACAAAACAATCGTGATAAAAAGGTTAAAATCGCTGTTAGGGGCCTGGGCACCAGCGTGCTGCCAAAGCAATCATTATTTCATGTCTTGAATACAAGTATACAGCAAATATTCTCAGAGATATACTGAAATCTATGTTAAAGGAAACTGAGCCGTTCACAATATAACGGCATCAACATCCTCATTAGCATAAACTTTAAAATTATATGTCTTTCGAACCAAAATTGCTAACGAAAAACGCCAGTTTTCTTCTTTTGTAAAGTACTTTAAAATGTGTTTAATTAGTAATAATTGG